TTCAGTTGTTTGTACTGGGTACTGCCTCTACTGTTTAGTTGTATTTCCAGATAGGTCCTGGATTGAGGTTTGTGTGGTTTCCACTCCCTTCTTTACCTTCTTCTGTTGTTATCTGTTAGTGGTTCCTTTGTTATTGGGTTTCCTCTTCCAGTGGGTATCCTGGTGTTCACCGCTTCCACCTACTCTTTTTTGTGATCCATTGGAGGGGGAAGGCAAAATGGTTTAAGACAGCAAGAGAGTATTCTATGATATTTATAGTAGCAGCCAGAAGAGAAGAGATTGGAGATCCTTTGGCTATGTATAGTATTAACCATGATTTTCCACCCAGCTAGCTGATTTTTAGAAAGGATGGAAAAAAGATAAGACTCTTGTTGGGGAAGAAAGGATTGTGAGTTGGATCTATAAAGCAGTGAGGTTGTGGTCAGAGCAACCTGCAGCAGAGCAGTTGAGGTCAGATTCTGAGGTAAGGTGAGAGAAAAGGATAGTAAATAGATGTTGTGTGTGAGAGAATAGAGTTAACCACTACAGTAATAGAGTTCAGGAAATTTTGAAGTGGGCTAAGATCTGGGAGGGGTGTTGTGAAGTATTTACAATTGCATGGAACAGCAATTATTTACAATAATATTAGAGCAACAATCATATGACAGAAACTATGAAACCTAGATAACAAGAATAGGGAGTATAGAACCTTGAGTAGTGTGCTAATGAAGCACAGGTGAGGTGAAGGACAGTACATTAACAATACACTATAAAAGAGATATCAGGGGAAACCTGTCAGGTGATACAATATACCAGCCTAGCAAAGCAGACTATACAGAAAAAAGAGGAATACAAAAATACTATCTAAAAAATAGATGTAAGAATAATAGAAAAATAATAATACAAATATGCAATAACTTGCAGGTTCTCTAATAGCAGAGTGAAATTTGTCTCACTGTCACAGCTGTTGTGATTCCCCTTCTTTGTGTTCAACTCTGGTCTTTTCACAGATCCAGGTTTTTGTCTCACCTGTAGGCATTTAAAAAATAAAAATTAAAAAGGCAGACGAAGGAAGGAAGAAGAGATAAAATTGGAGGAAATAAAGGAGGGAGGAATAAAACAAGAAAGCAGGAAAGAAGGGAAAAAGAAATTAAAAGAGAATAAAAATAATAAAAATTTAAAAATTAAGAATTGTTTAAAAATAGAATAAAATTAAAAAGTCTCTTGGTTTCAAAGTGGCCAAACTGGTTTTTCTGGTCTTGCTGGGTGCAGCAGACTGAGGGGTGATTGGTATGGCTTTTCTTCCTTTGGAATCGGCACTCGGCACTGGGTCAGCAGAGCGCACTGTCTGGGGTGCTATGGTGGCTCCTGGGCCCTGCGTCCCAGGTGTGGGAATCAGGTCTTTCTGCAGGGTTACTGCTGTGGACTGGAGTGCTACAATGCGCTCCCATGCTCGAGCGGGCACGTGCGTGCCATCAGCCAACCGCCTCACCCTTCCCAGCACTATGGAGGTGCACGGGGTCCTCCACATAAGCACAACCCTCTGTGCAAACTCAGGGTCGCTACCCAGCTGGGCGTAAGGGAGGCTGGCGATTGCTGTAGGAGAATTCCCCAAACAGTGTCTGTCTTTTCACTCCTTCCTCTTGAGAAATTCCTCCTATTCAAGCCTGCTGCTCCACACCATGGCCTGGCTTCTCCCACAGCCCAACTCTCCAGCCAAACCGGTGACTGTGGGGGTCAGGGCCCACACTGCAACCCAACCCCACCGGTGTCCACAGACTCCAAGGGTGCTCACAGTCTTTGTGCGTTTGCTAGCAACTGGGTTCCTCTTGGTGCCACTCAAACCCTGTTTGGCTGGGGAGGGAGCAGTTGTCCCGGCTCTGTCCCAAGGACTCTGTGGCAAACCCTGCAACCAGCGCTGGGCCTGGGGCTGCAGCCCCCCAACCGCGCGCTGGTCCCTGGGACCCTACCATATTGCAGCAGTCCTCTCACCGACTGGTTTTTCGGTTCTGCCACAATCCTTGGTCCCCTATTTTCACATATGCTGAGGTGTGTTGGTTGCTTCCTCCTCCACTTCATAGATTGGCCCTAAAACAAATATTTTTAAGGCAAACTTTTTTTTCTGTAATGCAGAACTTCTCAGAGTCTTTAATAAAAGAATGTGTTCTATGGCCCTCCAAACAGGCAAATATAATAGGTGATATTTCCCAAACACATATAAAGGGGACATGTACCTGCACATATATGCATAGTACATCTCTTGGCACAAGAATTCTGAAAATACTATCAAATAAGATATAATTACTGTTTCAGTTGGAGTTGAGTGTGACAGAAACTACTTATAGCTACTTTGAGGAACAAAGGAATTAAATGGATGATTATCAGGGGGGTCTTCAAGGCCAGGCTTGAAGGGCACACAGTCTGGGCATAGAAACCATGGCAGAAAGAGCCCAATACCAATGCTACTAATACTGAAATAAATCAATGCCCAAACATCTCTACTTCCTTATGTAACAGGGAAATGCTTACAAATAATCAGTGACAAAACAAAACAATGGTGCAAAAGGTTAGCCCAATTCTATAAAAAAGAAAGAGCATTGCACAGAAACAGTTCTAGAAGGAATTACAATAAAATGCTAGCATTTTTCTGCATTATAGAGTAATAAGTAATTTTTATTTTCTTTATGTACATGAATTACATTTGTAGTTATAAAATTAAGTATTTTTAAAACTACCTTTGTCAAGTCAAAAAGAAAAACTGTTCTAATGCCAAAATTTTGTGACAAAGTACATGTTCACAATTTTCAAATAGTTCTTGAGTTCATAAACTTTGGTAATGAGTTTTTCTAATTAGTAGGTGATCATTTAATTCTATACACCTGAGGACTTTTGATGCAATGAATATTTTTAAAGCTCTTCCTTGTCTTTTACATGAGTACTTGACATCATATAGAAATCACGATACCAGTGAATTTGTGAGACTAGGAGTACACCAAATCCCTGTCGTCAGTAATCAGCACATTACCACTTGTTGGCACAGTCGGTTGGCTCTTATATGCAGAGGAACTCTAAGTGCTGCTTGCATATAACTTCAGACAAGACCACTTCGAGATAACTTCACTTTTTCTAAATGCAATTAGCTTTTTATTAAAATAGCAACATAAATATTAATAAATTTATCCTTTATTAAAAAGTAAATAGGATTAACAACAACAAAACCTCACAATGCTATCCTAAATAAAACCAATCAAAAATGAAATAAAAACAGCAATTATAATCTGTTGTTTTAAAATAGTAACAATTAAGAGACTATATATCAAAATTTTTGAGATGCAAAGTTGTGCTCAGAGGTAAACTTACAGCCTTATGTGTCCTGTTATTAAATAAGAAATAAAAATGAATGAACTAAGTCATCAATTACAAGGAAACATTCAGGAAATAATAAAATAAACAAGGAAGGGATAAAGAAGGAATTAATAAAGAGTAAAAGTTATATTAATGATGTTGAAAATAGAAAAATATAATTTATAAAATAGCTAACTATTAGTTCCTTTAAAAGACTAGCAAGTCTAATTAAGAAAGAAAAATGCAACAAAAAAGATTAGAAATGAGAAAGAAGTTATAACTACAAATATATAAAAAATGTTTTCATTACTATAGGAGTCTACTAATAAACTTTAAAATTCTGTGAAAATGCATGATTTTCTTTTAAATTATCATTTTTTAAATTTATACTCAAGAATTAGTAATTAACCTGTCTAGGCAAAAACCACAGAAGAAAACTTTGTTTTCAGAGATTTAACTTCTACTCACACACCCTTAAAAACAGCCTGGGTCCTAAGCAGTGCTATAGATGAGTTCCTCCAAACCTTCAAAGAATAGGCAATTCCTATACTCTATACTAATCTAGAATATAGGACATTTTTGAAATCTCATAAAAATAGAATTTAAAAATGTAAAACTGTAGTCCAATTTTATGTGTGTATAAATACAATTATCCTAAGTAAAATGTAAAAAGTTGAATTCAATATTATTATACTGAAAGAGGAAAAAACCTATGGTAATGAAACAGGATACATTTCATGCAGAAATAATCCAATATTGAGAAATTTATTTAAATAATTTATTGTAATAATAGGTCAAGGGAGTAAATCCACATGGTAACTTCTAGTATCCCAGAATATGTTTAATATAATTCAATTAACAACTTTCAATAGAATGCTTAGGATACTTGAACCAGGAAACAACTTTCTTCATCTGATAAAGACTTCTATGTTAGTCCAACAGTTAGCTGGACTAAATATTTTAGCTTATGTTAGCTTCTAACATTAGAAGCTGATGAAATATTAATGGCATTCCTAAAAAGTCAGGGATATAAAATTAATACCATCATTTATTTAATATATGAGATATAAATATTGCAAAGAAAGAGAGAAAATTATCATTAATTACACCTCAGATGATTGTCTGCTTAGAAGAGAATCAACTAGGAGGATTAAAGAAAGAGTTCAGAAAAGTTCCAAATACAAAAATCAGTAGGTTGACCTAGCAAAGAACAACTGGTTATAAAACATAATGAGACAATAACTTCAACAAAGATATGAAACACCTATTAATATTATTAATAAGAAATATGCAGGATCTACAAAATTACTGAGGAATATATAAAAAAACCTTCCATTACCTTGACATGTGAAAAGTTCCTGAATGGAAAAATTAATATCACAAAGATTGCAATTCTACCTCAACTAATCTGTAACATTAAAGCAATTCTAAACAAAATGCTAGTAGAATTTCTTTTGAAACCTGACCAAAATATAATTAAAGTTTATCTTGAAGAAGAAATGTACGAATATAGCTGAAAATATTTTGAAAAAGAACAATGTTTACTCCATTAAAAAGATAATCACACAATAAAGCAAATTTTAAAATGACACTGTAAAATGACAGCAAGTTTCAGGAATAGGGAAAGATACCAAAAAATGAACAAACACACAAATAAAATCCAGAGACACTCCAAGTATATGTAAGAATTTAATATTTGATAAACATGGAATTTTCAAAACAGTGGAAGAAAGAGTTTTCAATAAATGATGTATCAGCTAAATAAATATTTAGAGTCTTAATCACATCTATATCAAAAATAAATTTTATTTGGAGTAAAGATTTAAATCTAAAAAATTTTAAAGAAAACATAGACAAAGATTTATTTAACATTGAGATGGAGAAGGTGTTTTAAAACATATCACCAAAAAATAGAAATCATAAAAGATAAATTTATCTAAATGAAAAATGTAATATTTCTGTATATCAAAGACATCATGAATTAAATTGATACATACATGACAAGGGGGGAAATGTCTGCAGCATACAGAATAAACAAATGGTGGTGGTTGTAATATATAAAGAGCTCTTACAAATCAATAAAAAGTGAACTCCCAAAAGAAAAATTAGCAGATTGTTTGTTCATTCCTTCAACAGATATTTACTGTGCACCTAACATGTGCCAATATTGTTCTAGGGGCTGGGAATACAAAGTTGAAAAATCTAGACATCCAGACAAGGTCTCTTCACACACACACACACACACACACACACACACACACACAGAGTAAATAAACAAATAAATAAAGTTACAAATTGAGATAAGGAATCCAAGTAAAGAACTGAGATAGTAAATGGGAGGGCAGAAGCTACTTTCAATCAATGCTCTTGGCAGGCCTTTCTTAAGATGTTGTATTTAAACTGTTATCTAAAAGACAAGGTTGCGATGGGGAAGAGGATAGCCAAGGAGAGAAGCTTGAGCAGAGATACAGCATTTACTAAGCCTGTGAGCTGCAGGAACCGTCTGGGCATGCTGGAGGAAGGAAGTAGTGTGGCTGCATCATGGGCAATAAACAAAGCAGCATACATGGGATTCGAGATATAGGAAAGGGTCAGATTATGCAGGACTCTATGAGCCACATAAGGAGTTCAGATTTTATCTTATGAGCAACACTTTACTCAATTCAATTTATGAGTAAGGTCATTGTTGCTACTCTATAAAGAAGTGGGTCTTGGGTCAAGGAGCAGGAGCAGAGACCAGGAAAGACTGGCTGTCAGGTAAGAAAAAAATATTGATGAGGATTGAGTGATAACACTGAAAAAATGGAAAGAAGCAGAGAAACTAAAGATATATTTGAGGATAAAACAGATTGATTATGCTGGTCTACTTAATGTAGGAGAGGTCATGAAAAGAATCAAAGGTGACGCCTAGGTTTCTAGCTTGAGCAAATGGTTGGATGGTGGTGCTATTTACTGTTTAAGGAAAAAATGGGGGAAACAAGTTTGGGGTGAGAATGAGGAATTAAATTGTGGACATGTTAAGTTTCAGAGATCTGTATCATCCAAAGGAAGATATTGAGCAAGCAATTAGACATTTGAGTCTAGAACTTATAGAAAAGTTCAAAGTGGAAAAATTTTTAAACTCATTAGCATAAATGCACACTTAAATCCACAAAAACTGGTAAGATCATCCTGGGAAAGAACAGAGAAAGAAAAGGGGGTCCCAAATGACGGTGAGAAACCTCAACTTTTCAAATTTAGGTAGGAAATAGGTAGCTTAATGCTGAGGAGTGATCAGTGAAGGAAGAAGAAAACCAAGAGAGAATCATGCCTTATATATGAAGAGAAAACATTTGAAGAAGCAAAAACTAATCAAGGTGAGGACAGGAAATACCCTTGGAGAAGGTAATATGGAAGTGACTGGTGACCTTAACAATGACATTTTCAGTGGTGTGATGGGGAAATCACATTGTGGATAGAAGATTAAAAAATAAAAGCAATATATAAGGATAATTCCATAAAGAAATTTGGTTATGAAAGCGAGCTGAGAAATATCACTGATGGAAGAGATGTACACAAGGGGATGCTTGGACACTGGAGCTGTGTAATGCATTACTGTGATTGAACTTGAACTCCAACATCCAGTCCCCTCCTGTAACTTCATCTCCAGTGACCATTTAAGATGGTGGACACTGGAGCATGTCTGCAATCTGATGAAAATGATTCATTCGAGACAGATTTATGGTACAGAAGAAAGGGGATAACCTAAGGAGAAAAGTTCTTGAAAAGGCAAGGGGGGAAGGGATCCAGAGCTCAAGAGGAGATACTCATCTCTGAAACTTCCTCCACAGTCAAAAAAAGGATGAAGATGGTTACCAAGGTACCTGGAGTGGGGGCAGGGGTCTTATGGTGAAAGATTTGGAAGTTTGAATGTAGTATCTTCTATTTCCCAAGTGAAATCTGAAGTAAACTGTGAGGAAGGGATCAGAAAATTTTGAGGAGAGATTAAAAAGTATAAATAGTAGTTTTAGAAGTGGGAAACTGACACTATAGTAGGAATGATAGCACCAATTTGAAGTTTGAGATAACAAATTCAAAGTAAAACTGGTTGGCTGCATTGTGTGCTTTTCTAGAAGAAAATGCTTATCCCAGTCAGGCACATGGAAGGCAAATGGTAAAGCTCATCCAGCACTGGGATTTTATAGGAAAGTAAACTGGAAAAAATTCAGGTTCAAGACTGCTGTTTCAAGACTGCTGTTTCAAGATTGTGTTTCAAGGAGGATGATTATAATGATGGACCATGGGATCTAGGCTAGAAAGGATGTGAATCCAAGAAGGGGCTGATATATAGTGGGAAAAATTAATGAATTAACTGTCAGTGAACAAGGGATCCAAGATAGGACAATGGTGATCAGAGTGGAATGTCTGACAATGTGTTAGCTCAGGTCCCCCTAGAAGCAGACACCAAGACAGGGTTCAACTTATAAGAGTTTTATTGAGGGAACATCACACTGGAGTATAAAGGGAAGGAATGAGAAGGGAGGCCTTCATATCATAATGCAAGTCTGACACCTATGAAAGGAGGCAGGGATTGGGCAAGAAGGGCTTTAGACTGCATGCAACACAGTTCTAAGAAAGTCTCAGCCAGGCTGCTGAGGAGTTCCCACGCCAAAGTTGTTCATTAGAGGAATTCAGCATTTCACATGAATGGACCATCACTAATACCCTCACTGTGCTCAGTCTTGCACTGGGAATAGGCTGATAGTCTGGGAGAAGCACACTTCAGTGCAAACCCAGCAGAAGTGGGTTCCCTGGGGTGGCAGTACAGAGGTGTGGGAGCAAGGACTGATTCCCAAGAAATGGTCACTGGAGATGAAGTTACAGGAGGGGACTGGATGTTGGAGTTCAAGTTCAATTACAGTAATACATTACACAGTTCCAGATTGTGTCAGTGGCCCCAGTCACTGGGGATTTGTGCACTATGAAAACAATCTTCTGGCAGACGGTGGAGGGGTGGGGGATAGTAACCTGTTGACAGGATTTGAGAGGGCAAAGACTAAAATGGGAGCTAGTCTTTGAAGAACTAATAATGAAAGCAACTGACTAGGTAGTTAATAAATTACGTGGAGGGAAAGAGGATGGTATTCACAGGGGTGTCCAACCTTTTGGCGTCTCTGTGCCACACTGGAAGAAGAGTTGTTTTGGGCCACACATTAAATACATTGCAACATGGAACCACACACACAAAAAAATCTCATAAAGTTTTAAATTTACAATTTTGTGTTGGGCCACATTCACAGCCATCCTGAGCCTCATGAGGCCCACGGGCCACAGGTTGGACATCTCTGGTCCAGGGGCAAGATTCTCAAAGACGTCAGGATTTTGGCAGGCAGCCTGAGGATGTAATGCTCTGTGAGTAGCAACAACTGGCAAGAAAACCATCCTCCCCACCCACCGGGCCCTAAGGCACATGGTCCTCCTGAGGGTCTGCGGGGGGAGTTCAGGGGTAAACCAGGTTCCACCAAAGCCAAGGGGTGAGGGGGTCTGTGAAATCCGCAGACACCGGGGAGCTCGCTGATGACAGAGGGTCTGGAGGGCGGGCGGGCATAGAGGCGAGTTGTGGTGAAGCGCTTGAGGTACTCGGAGCTGTGCACAGTGCTGGCGTCATCCCGCCGATGGCCAGGAGGTGGCACTCATGGGGGTGCGGGCTTCCGTAGGCCCCGGGCAGCAAGCTGGCGCTCCCGGGCAGCGCCCCCACGGAGCTTAGGGCGGCAGCTGGCGGCAGCCTGGCGCGTGGTGACGGCCGCAGCCACGGAAGGGCAGCGGCTCCCTGGGGCAGCCGAGCGCGGGGTGGCAGCGCTGCGGGGCGACGGCTTCCCCAGGCTTCGGCCGCGGGTGGCAGAGGTCCCCAGGGAGAAAGACAAAAATACGCCGGTTAGAAACAGGACTAGGCGCCGGAGCCTTCCAACTCATCAAAAAGCTGCAAACCCGAACTCGCGCGATGCCATTTCCACTCAACAGGTTGTCTGGCTGTCACTTTGACACAGGAGATAACTTGTGTTGACCAGAAGGAAACAGCATACAATTGAAGTCGCATACATGTTTTAGCAATTTAAGAAAATGTATCAAAACCCTCAAATTTTTAAGTACTCTGACGCAGAAATTCTAGTTTCAGAATTCTCCCTTAAATAATAATCATGAATGAATACAAAATTTTCATACAGGGTATTCAGTGAAATATCTATAATAGCAAAAAAAAAAATTAAAAACTGGAAAGACCCCATAACCAATAATAAGGTGTTCATTAGATTGTCTTTTTCTTATAATGAATACTGACCAGCTGTTAAAGTGATACTGAGAAATAATAATCATATGGGAAAGTATACCAAATGGAATAAAATCAGTTTCGTCCTCATTTGTAGTGTGTGTGTATATACTTAAGTGTCTATACAACACACTACACATGTATAAAGTAATGGAGAAAAAGACTCCAAAATATTAACTGGCTATCTCCAGGTGATGAGGATGCAGATAACCTTTATTTCCCAAATTGTATACAATATTTTATTTTTATGATAAAAATGCAAGTTAATTTAATAAAAGGAATTTTACTACATTCTTATGTACCCACTCAAATTTTCTCCCAATTTAAATTAAAATAATTATTTTATATTGTGTAGCAAAGTGGTGGACATCAAAAGATTTTAAGAATTAATGGTCTACAGAAGTACTTTATCTTCCTCAAAGGTTCTAAATAAATCTCAGTATTACAGAGCAAGTTTATTCCTTAACCATCACACAGTTTATCAAAATCACTCCCTTTTGTGAGTTATACCTCATTTTATTCTATTAAACATTTCTACTCCAGGGGAACAAAAAAATGCTTTCCAGGCTTCTAACATCTAATTTGGTTTGTTATCTCCACAGACCTGTGAACACAAACTTTGCCAAAAACAGAAAAAAAAATACCATATTTTAGAACAAATATTCTAAATACCAATGTTTTCACAATGTATTCAATAATTTTCTCTTTAACTTGAAAGATTTTTGTAGGAGCAAAACTAAAATATTACAATTAAACTGTAGTCTATACTTAACATCTTGGTCTTCTAATCATAACAAATTAAAAAATTCTGGAAGTTATTAATATCTGGGGAGTCTGTTTTGCTAAACCTTATTCCAGGAAAATATAAGGATGAAAATAAAATTATACTGGTATAACATAGAGGCAGGGTTCCAGGGCTTTGTTACTAAATTGATGGGAGATACGTCATAAGTTCCAAGGATGTTTTAAGCTAAAGCGACCTCAGAGTTGTCAGGTTGATTGTACCTAATTGTGAGTAAACCTAAGCTTAGAATGTTGATTGGAATGTTACTTAAACCACACCGCCCTACAAGTTTCCTTCCCTCTGAAGGTACTGGATAAAAATTAACATGTATAAATGCATACTTTTAGTAAAAAAAAATCAGAAACAAAATTTACAAAGAGGACAAATCCAAGAGGCTAAAAGTCTGTTAATCAATTGCTCCTGAACAAAAAGGAAGTTGTATGAGCTTTTTATGAAGCATCATCTCTCCCAAAACCTTATCACCACATGATTTAACATAACAGGATTAAATGCAGATAAAATGGAAGAGCATCTATGTTTGGTGCTGTACAGTGCAACTTTTTATCCACACAGCGATTTCATTTTAATTCAGCATTTTTGAGTGATGATTGTCTCAAATACTGCTCATTTAAGAAGAAAAAAAAGAGATTCCTACCTTTGAGAAGCTCTATCTAGAACATTACCCTCAGAGTAAAGGAACTCAGACCCTGGGGCTAACTTGAATCCCTAAACCACCCCACCCACCACCCTGCAGTCCTTCCAAAGCTTTCCTTCCCACCATATTCTTCAGATGAGGTTTCTGATTTCTTGTCAATTCTTTGCTCAAATTCACCCTGAGCACCCCATTATCTCCACACTTGCTAAATTACTGGTTTTCAACTGTTCAGGGGAGTTAAAAACCAGTCTGAGATTCTGATTAAAGACATGGACTCTGTCCTCCAGAAACTTGCACAGAAATGCATATACCATATACTTTATTTCACTGCCCTGGAAACTGATTTCCTGAACATAAGCAAAACAAACAAACAAACAAAAAACAAAACAAATTATTTAAAAAGGATTGTGCCTCCCTCACATTATTTTTTCATGAAAGAAAAATTGTTAATTCCTGGAAAAGATTAATTTAAAAAATTCTAACTGCTTAGTAGTAAATTTCAATGAATTTTGGCTTATTGAGTTGAAACTATGATATGGCATTTGACACAGCAACAAATACATCATCTCTGATAATCAAGTGCAGCTTCTTTCTCCATGGCAACAAGTGCTGAAATCCTGGACTCAAAGGTACATAGCACAAAAGCAGAATTCCATAGCATACTTTGTCATGTTATGGTAGCCTGTGTATTGGAACACTAACTTCCTCCAAGAATTTCAAGTTAAAGTCACATTATTTCCTCTATCTTCAAATTCAATTAAGATTTCTGGAGAGTCAGCAAATTTGTCTGGTAGAGAAAAACATACTCTGTTCCTTGGAATATTCATATTCTTGGCAATACCTCTTGGAAAGGTGGTGACAGCTGCTGATATGGAAAACAGGAAGGCACAATGATGTGTGGCTATCTGCTCATCAAGCAGGACCACCATAATGTATGCTTTAACATCATAGGTACACATCTGCCCTCAAAGTGCTATCATTTTTCCTCCCATTTGAATATTTATTAAAGAAAGAAAGACAGGAGAAAGAGAATTTAAAAGATGTTAATGCCCCGGTAAGTGTGGCTCAGTGGGTTGAGCTCTGGCCTGTGAACCAAAGGGCTGCTGGTTTGATTGCCAGCCTAGGACACATGCCTGGGTTTCAAGCCAGGTCTCCAGTAGGGGGCGTGCGAGAGGCTACCGCACTATGCTGTTTCTGTCCCTCTCTTCCCCCTCCTCCCCTCTAAAAGTAAATAAATAATTTTTTTTTAAAAAAGACACCCTTTCCAGTTTCCAAAAATCATCCCAAAATGGAATTCTTTGATGGCATCAGAGAGCACACGAAAACATGAAGCTCGATGCACTGAGAGGCACAATAGTTTCATCCAATCGTACACTGAACAGAAATGGCATAGCGCCCACTTTCGGAAGCACTGCCTCAATTCTCTTTCACAGACTGTATTTAAGAACCTTGGAACCAAACGATTTGACTCTCCACACCCCCAACACACACTATTATTTCCCAACCAATGTTTTTGTTTTTGGCATTTCACCGGTCAAAAAAAGGTCTTCTCCTTTCTCTCATCTAGTCAAATGATGCCCATCCCTTGAGACCCAGATCAAAGCCATTCTGATATGCTTTCCCTTAGTACTTACTGCAGTCTGAAATGATTTACCCATTTTCTTAACTCCCACAATGTTTGCTATCCATGCGTCTTCTCAGAGTGGTTCTGAGGCCACCAGCTTCAAAAATACATCATGATCTGTATTTTTACAAACACCAGAAAAAGCTGTGGCAATTTTCCCTCTGTTTTCACAAATCTATTTTGCCACTCTTAAAAGAGTAAGTCATCCCCGCATGCATGGAGAGGGGAAGGCCAACAGGGCTTACTGTTGCTGGAGTGACCGACTGACTCATCTCAATTGTTCCTTTCTGTACTCATTTTCACACAGAAAGTTTTGATTTGTCAACTGTGTACTTGTCAGGTCTGTAATGGCATTGTTGATTGATGAATTCACCAACATTATATGTCCACCCCTGTGTTTTTCAATCATCACCTCCCGATTCCATGGCCATCCTACTGTTCTAAGGCTTCAGATGCTATTTTCTAAATAGCATTACATTCCATGAGAAAAAATTTAGGCAGAGCCTGAAATGAAGTTAAGCACGATTAGATGGAAAGCATTACAACTAACATCATTCACTCAAATAAGATACAAAGTTACACATACATTCTAGAGCTGAGCACTAACTTGAAGATCATCTCTTCTATTAGATTGACATTACAGATGGAGGAACTGTGGGAAATGCAGTATTTTGAAGCAAATAAACTAACATTTTATAAAAATCTAAATCTCAAAAACAAAATAGTAGCTAAATCATGCAAAGCCAAAATTGTCCTAATTAGCCCACAGATTCAACATTAAGGATAAATTAAGGAGTTAAAAGAATTAAAGAATAAAAAATGTAAAAGATGTGATAGATCAGACATCTATAGAAAGGGCACAAAAGATTGTCTTTAACATTATAAGTATCAAGACGACCTGAACTCAATACCAGTCACACTAATTAATATTTGTTATCATTTATTTATAGATATGCCAGGCATTAGGGTATTTTACATACATTAGCATGGTTTTATTAACCTCTAATGGAAAAAAAAATGTGCTAAAGGAGATAGCCTATGGTAACTCTGTAAGAAAAGAAACCAAGAAAGAAGAAAGCAAAAACTGCCCATGTATCTGCACCTTGGTCTAGTAGAAAGGATGCTCTAAAAATTGAAAAATATCTGGTCCGAGTGGCAAGTACAGGGTGGGGCAAAGTAGGCCTACAGTTCTTTGTATAGAAAATAATACATAATTAAGAAATAATAATTCACAAATAAACTCTGTTTAGCTTACTCACAACTATAAACCTACTTTTGCCCCACGCTGTAGATTCCTGTGGGAAAGATGAATGTATCACACTACAAGAGCTGATATTGGTCAGAGAGCTGACTCAATGCTCATCTAACAACCTCATGATTATAATTAAGTTTTCCAAGCAGATTTGCCTACTGGGAGAAAATACATTGAACCACAGAGATGAGAAGCAAGTGTGCCTGATCCCTCTCATTGCAAATTTTAAAAACTAGCATTGCA